TTTCTCTCTCTCTCTCTCTCTCTCTCTTTCTTTCTCTCTCTCTCTCTCTCTCTCTCTCACTCTCTCTCTTTCTCTCTCTCTCTCTCTCTCTCTCTCTCTCTCTGTTGTCTGTCTCTCTGTCTGTCTCTTTCGTGCCGATAGTAAGATATATTACAGGAAATGCAAATGTACTATCATTCCATCGAAAATCGAACAAGACATTTCCAAGTCGTATCTAAAAAGCTCTGCATCTCGTGTATATATATATATATATATATATATATATATATATGTATATATATTTGAGAAGATTCTATATCATTCTACATAAAATATAATATTAAATTGATGAAAATCAAAAGTATTATAATTATTATCATCGAAATTATTAGATGATTTTATATATACAAAAAAAAAAAAAAAAGAAAAAAAAAATTGTCACACATATTATTTTTATCAATGCTGTCTTGTCACTATTAAAGAATTATTCATCAAATAGCATAATCCATTCGATTTATTACTCCTCCAAAATTAATCTCTTTAGGAATAACATATGTAAGTATATAAAAGTTGCAGCAATTTGAACATTAACGAGGAAATCGTTTTGATGGGTTTCGATTTTGAGTAAACGATTAAATCCCATAGTGACCTTAAATGTAATTAGCGGCGTAGAAAGTTAGCCTTGAAAGGGACGACGCTTTGGGATCTAGTTCCGCGTTATTTAACGTAGTTGCGCGTCATTTTCCAAGGCAATCAAATCGACTATCGTGCAGTTGGGAACGCCCTCGAGCGTTCTCTTCGTGTTACATTTACTTTCAGAATAGTTATATATACATATACATATGTATGTATGTATGTATGTGTGTGTATGTGTTCGTATATATATGTATATATACACGTTACAGTCTCTCTCTCTCTCTCTCTCTCTCTCTCTGTCTCTCTCTCTCTTTCTTTCTCCCTCTCTCTCTCCTCTCTCTCTCTCTCTCTCTCTCTCTCTCTCTCTCTCTCTCTCTCTCTGTGCGTTTATCTGTACCTGTCTATCTCTTTTTCGATTTCTTCGTACAAAAATCGTAGAAATATCAAAGAGAAACGATCGAGTATTTATTACATTCCTAGTGCTCGTAATAATAAATCATTCCTCCGACATTATTTCTTCTTTCATAAACCAATCGTAAAGGATTCTTTCTGCCCTTAGACTCGAGTCTTCGATTTTTGTTTTGTTTTTGTTTAATATATCTACATACATATGTATATGGTATCCTTGTGTTTCTTCAAAATATTTACTCGTTCAACAAAATATCAAAGCACGCGTTTCGTTCCATACCCGGGGAAAGTTTATTTTCGATATAATATTTATACGTGAAAATTATTACGTACGTTGTATTCGACGAAGAAACAATTTTTAATACAAATATTTGAACGCGAAGAAAATAAATTATAAAGGAATGAACGATCGTAATTGTAATTCATGTTAGACGATAATTTTATATTGTTTACATGCGTATATCGTTGTAATTTGTAATGATAAAATTAAAAGAAAAAGAAAAAGGAGATTAGAAAAATAATTAGAAAAATCAATGTTAATTAGACGTCGTATTATAAATATTCTTTTCTTCACGTATTTAAAAATATATATTCTTCGTGTTTTGAATTATTCGATTCTGTTTAAATAGGAGAAAAAAAATAATATGACATATTTTGAAAAAGCTTGTAAACTATTTAACATCGTTTTAAAAAATATCGTTAGTAAATTTCTTTTTATGAAAGAATAAAAAGCTTGTCAAGAGAGAAAGAGAGAGAGAGAGAGAGAGAGAGAGAGAGAGAGAGAGACAGATTGAAGCCCGCATCGTGAGCATTCCAACGACGTTATCTCTCAAGTTTCACATTCTCTCTTTTAATTCGAGCATTCGAGCAGTCTAGCAAAGAGTGATCTAATTAAGTTTGTCAAAAACGAGAGACACCCTTTTTTACGACGTTTCCCTCTAAATTCATGCGAAGCATCATTCTTAACTTTCGAAAGAGTAAGGAAAAGTGGAAGGGGATCGTCAATAGAAAGGATAAGGAGATGAAATGAAACGACGTTTTTAAGAAAGTTGAATAAAAAGAGAAACATTTTTATCATACAAAAAATCTCCTTTCTTCTCCTCGATTGTCTACATAATAAAGATAAAAATATCATTTCGCTTTTGTATATTTATATTAGAAAATTAATTCAAGATGTAGTAAGAACGATGAGATCATTTGTAACTTTTCGCTTAACGACGAAAATTGAAATTATAAAAGAAAAAAAAAAAAAAAAAAAAAAAAAAAAAAAAAAATCCAAAAATCATAAATTATCATCATCTCGTCATAATCAATCCTTTCTTCTCAATCGTTTGAATTTAGTTGAACAACTTTATCTCTAATTCTCACAATACTTGAGAGATATTTTATTAAAAGAAATTATAAAATTAATTTTGAAATATTGATGATATTAAAAAAAAGAAAAAAGGAAAAGAAAATACAAGTCTTTAAAAATATA